CCAGTAGAGCCCCGGCTGGGAAGAGCTGCACAGGGTGCGGGGGCGCTCTTCTCGCCACAGGCCTGTCCCCGCCCCTGACCAATTTTCAGTCGAGACTCAGAAGTGAAAAACATGGCTTCAAAGGCGCGCTCCGAGTTCCCAGCGGGGCCCAGCCCACAACGGCTTCCGCTCCGCATGGGTTGGCGGGGCGCGCGCGGGCCGCAGCTCCCCGGAGGGCGGCGGGGTCCAGACGCCGCGCGCCGCCCCCTCGGCTCCCACGCCGCGCCGGGCCCGCCGCGCTCCAGATGCGGTCCCCAGGCGACGCCTGGAGCCCACGGACCCGGGAGGCCTTGGCCGCGCCCCCTCACTCCTAAGAGCCTCTCTGCCAGGGAGCCAGGGGGCTTGGTGAAGACCCGGGGCTGTGCGCCCCGCGCCAGGCGCATCAGGGGATAAACCTGAAGGACTGAGGCGCTGCATCCGCGCAGATCCATCTGGGGTTCATTTGGCGGGGATCGGCCCTGCGGTGCAGAAGGAGGGAGCGTCTGCAGACAGGCTCTCAGCTGACACGCAGCAGGGGAGGCGGGGGTGGGGGAACAGGGCTCATGAGGGCATCCACCTTGGGGCCGCCAGCCTCATCATCCAGGCTGCACTCAGGTTCCTGGGGTTGTGTTTGTTAGTCACTGGGCCAGGCCAGGCCACCTTCCTGCAGACCTGCTGTCTCCAGTGGAGAAACCAGAAAAGGAACATTGGTGGGACAGAGGGCAGGTACGGCCATCCCAGTACCCCATGTGGTCACTGAGTCCCACAACAGATTCTCCCCAGGCTCCTCCCTCCCTCCCTCCCTCCCTCCCTTCCTTCCTTCCTTCCTTCCTTCCTTCCTTCCTTCCTTCCTTCCTTCCTTCCCTCCCTCCTTCCCTCCTTCATTCCTTCCATCCATCCTTCCCTCCCTCTCTTCTTACCCTTTCTCTCCTTCCTTCCTTCCTTCCTTCCTTCCTTCCTTCCTTCCTTCCTCCTTTCCATCCCTCCCTCCCTTCTTACCCTTTCTTCTTCCTTCCTTCCTCCCTCCTTCCTTACTGGCAGTGGAAACACATTAGATGGATGAATCTCCCGGTGGGTGGACGACCTGCTCACTTCTTCTTCCCCACTTCTGCTTAACCTACCCCAGCCATTTGATGGCAGTGAGGTGACCTGGTGCCCAGGAAGTAATGTGCCACCAGCTTCCCCAGGCAGAGCCTGGGAGTGCTTCCTAAGCCTGTCCAGGAAGAACAGGGTCAGGAATCAGCAAGACCCAGACCGTGAAGGGCAGGGCACCAGGTGGCCACCCTCTGCCCTCCACATACCTACTGTCCTGGGGCTCCTGGGAGAGGCTTTGCCAGTCCTGCACAAACCAGCAGGGGAGCGCATGGTGCTGGCATGGGAAATTCTGAATTCAATCCTGACCCCAGATAGAGGATCCACCCAGCTATCATTGCTGCCAGAGAGAACAGGGGTGTGAAGGCACCGGCTGTGAGGATCCAGGTAGATTCATTCAGCTTAGACCAGCCCTGGACTCCGCAAAGGGCGGCAGGATTCCATGTAGGCACCCCAGGCCCGAAACAGCACCCAGAAAGCATCCATCTGTGGATCGCCAGTCTGTGGGAACTGTCTGACCCTGAAGAGCACCCCTCCCACCCCAGAGATTAGGAGCTGGGAGATACCTACAGGAGGTAGGTAGGGCACTTACTTGGCACACAGCTGAGCTGGGTTTGATCCTTGGAATCCCCATATTGTCCCTTGGACCCTGCCAGGAGTGATCCCTGAGTTCAGAGTCAGAAGTAAGCCCAGAGTAAGCCCTGAGCGCTGTCAGGTGTGGCCCAAAACTAACCAGCTGTGCTCAGTACCTGGACAATGGCCGAGTAACTCCTGGAGCAGAAGCTGCCCCAGTCACCTTCCTCATGGAGGGTCTCAGCTCAGACCCCTGCTAGAACCCAGAGGGACCCAGTGACGAATACAAGCCAAGGCAGACATCACAGCCTCATACAGGTTCTCTGGAACCACTCAGTCCGACCCTCCACAGTTCTGGGAATTCTGATGAGCCAAGTCAAAAGATAAGGAGAGAGGCCAGAGTGACAGTAAAGCGGGTCGGGCGCTCGCCTTGCATGTAGCTGACCCGGGATCCATCATTGGCACCCTACATGGTCCCCCAAGTCTGTCAGGATTGATCCCTGAGCATAGAAGTTGGAGTAAGCCCTCAACATAGCCAGGCATGGCCCCAAAACCAACGAAACCAAACAGTGACAAGAAGGGGAGCTGGGGAAGTGGTTCACCCCAAACACGTGAGGATCTAAGTTCAACCCTTGGCACCACAGGGCCCCCAAGTAAGCATTGCCTGGAGTAACCTCTTAAAAAAAAAAAAGAAATAAAGAAAGGAAAGGAAAGATAAAGAGGGAACTTGGTTTTTCCACTCTGCTCCAGACTGTCTTCAAAGAGCTCAAAGCCAACTGCAGAGTGCAGGGGTTCAGCCGGGTGCCTGGGGAATAAAAGCTTCATGACAGTGAAGGTCAGTCCTGCATTTCCCCCGATCTGCCCCAATGCAGCTGATGCTGGGACAGGAGCAGAGTCAGACAGGGCCCCAGTGGCTGTCACATCCTGAGAAGAGCGAGTCTTCAGTGACCCCTGCCAGAGAGCAACTGAGAGCTCTAACTGCTCCACCATCATGTGCTGTGTCCGGGGCTCCGCATAGCCTGGCTCCCAGGGCCAGAGCGGTCTGGGGTTCAGGACATGTTGACTTGCCCTCAGAGTGAATTTAGGCCCCTTTCCTGCTTGGCACCCCTGTTGGTCCTGGTGTGCAAAGCACTTAGGGATGGGGAGATGCTCAAAGGGCCAGAGCATGCATTCACATGCTCAAGTCCGAGATTCTGTCCCTGGAACCTCATTGTCTCGAGCACTGGACTAGGAGTAGGCCCTGGGATCCCCCAGATCCTGAATCCAAAACCAAAAAAGAATTTGGTCTGCTTAAATTTGGTTTCTTTAAGTATTTTAAAGACAAAGGGTATGGTTTTCAAAGAACACTTACAGGGGGACCTGTCCTCTTCCAGAAAAAAAAGGAAGTGAATTTATTTTACTTTATTTTGGTTTTGAGGTCACACCCAGTTGTACTCAGGGCTTACTCCTGCTCTGTGCTCAGGAATCACTCCCAAAAAGGCTTGGGGGGTATATGGGATACCGAGAATTGAACCCAGGTTAGACACATGCAAAGCAAACACTTTCTCTGATGTACTATTTCCAAAGAAAGTGAATTTAACAGACACTTGGGGGATGAGCCTGGCAAGCTCCCCGTGGTGTATCTGATATGAGAAGAACAGTAACAACAAGTCTCACAATGGAGATGTTACTGGTGCCCGCTCAAGCAAATCGATGAACAACAGGACAGTCCTACAGTGCTACTTGGGAGGCAGTGAGCAGAGAAATGGTCCAGGAGTTAAGGCACTTGCCTTTCATGTGACTAATATTGATTTCATTCCCAGCAGTGCATGTGGTCCCCCAAGCCCTGACCAGGAGTGATCTCTGAGCATAGAGCCATGGGGTGTGGCCCCCAAAACAAAGCAAGTAAAATAATGAAATAAAAATAAAGGACATACATGGGGCCAGAAAGATAATACTGGCAAGAAGGTAGGAGAGGAAGGGAGGGAAGGAAGGAAGGCGGGAGGGAGGGAGGGAGGGAGGGAGGGAGGGTGTCTTCTCACTCAGGCATGGAGCAGACTCCCCTCTCTGGGTGGGCATGGTCCTGAGCTTCCCCATCCTGGCATGTGACCTTATACCTGTGTGTGACATGTCCCTTCTTTGAGTCCTTAGCTAAAGGGATGTGTGAGGTGGGCAGGGGACCGAAAGTGGCCAGATCTCCCCATACCCCGCTTCTCTAGGTCTGGCTCCAACAGGTTCCAAGTTTGCTACTGCGAGGATGTCACTGAGTAGCCTTTAGCACGGCAGAGCTGCCCATCCTCCACCTGCCAGCTGGGCCTGGGCACAGCTCAGCCAGCAACCCAAACCCTAGGTCAGGGCTTGCTGCTCATCACCGAGGTCTGCAGAAAACAGGGCGTTTGACAACAGCCCAGCTCTGCTGGATGCTGCTGAGACTAATCGGGGCTTCTGTGTCACACTAGAGGGGAGCAGTCCCCCGTCCAAGTGAGAAGCTGGGGCGCCCAGGGGAGGCCCGAGCACTCGAGACAGCCGTGGACAGCCTGCTAACGCGTCGACCAACCTGGGCTCCGAGCCTGCGCCCACAGCAGACTCGCCCCACTGCTGCTGTAGCCGCAGCCTGTCTGGCTGAGCACCCAGGTCAGTGACGCTTCCCGCGGAGTCCCCTGAGGATAGTCAAGGCGGCCGTCAGTTCCGCAGGCAGAAAGGGGAGCCGGCGGCTGGCCGGAGCCCGTCCTGGAGCCAGAGGCGGCTGCAGTCATACGAAGCGCATTAGCTATTAACATTTTCCGGTTGTTGGTTTGCTGGGTCCCGCCAGCTCCCGAGGCTTCTGCAGGCCGGGGCTCTGCTTGGGTTCCCCACAACAGCCAGGCCCGGAGATACTAGCGCCCGACGACCCTCGCGCTGGCAAGCGGCGAGAGGGCAAGGCGGTCTTTGGGGGCTCGGTGTGAGCAGAGTCCCCGTGTCCACCCTCAGTGGGAAGGGACCGGGACGGCGCTAGGGGCGCCTTTTCCGCACGGCTGTTGGCCGCGGGGTCCTGGGGCACGCGGCGATCGGCCGCTCGGGGAGCGCCGGACGGCCGGACAGACAGCGGCGCGGGCGGCGCACGGCGGGAGCGCAGCGGCCCCTGGCGCTCGGCGGGGCGGCCCGAGGGGCGTGGCCCAGACTCGGGGCGGGGCCTTTCGTGGGCGGGGCCGAAGCGGCCGGGGCGGGGCTTTCCGGGGGCGGGGCAGGCGCTCGGCGGCCGGCGAGACCCGGACAGCGCGGGCGGCGGGGCGGCCAGCGGCCCCGGCCCGCGTCTGCGCCCCTGCGCCCTGCGCCCCGAGTTCGCCCGCGGCCGCCGACCCGCCGCGTGCACAGCCATGGTGGGCCGGCTGAGCCTGCAGGATGTGCCCGAACTCGTGGACACGAAGAAGAAGGGCGACGGCGTCCTGGACAGCCCGGACTCGGGGCTGCCCCCCAGTCCCAGCCCCAGCCACTGGGGGCTCGCGGCGACCGGGAGCGGCGGCGGCGGCGGGGAGCGCGCGCCGGCCCCCGGGACCCTGGAACCCGACGTGGCGGCGACCCCCGCGGCCCCGGTGAGTGCCCCTCCGCGTCCCACCCCGCGGCCGCCTCCCGCTGGGGACCCCGGCCCTTGTGCCCGGCCGCCCGGCCGCGCCGTCGGCGCCGCCACCCGCCCGTCGGGGCGCCGTGGCCATCGCCAGGAGCGCGGGGCGGGAGCGCGGCGAGGCCCGGCCAGCTGGAGCCGGTGGCTGGAAAATTGTCATCGCCTGGGAGGCGCGGGAGCCCCGGAGAGGAGCCGCCGCCTCCTCCCTCTGGGGTGGCGGCCCCCGGGCTGCCAGCCTGCGACTCAGACGCATTCCTGCCCCGGCCGGGCTCCGCGGGCGAGCACCCCGCTCCCGTCCCCGCTTGGCCCCCTCTGGCGGCGGCTCCCGAGGGTCCGCCCCCTCCTGGAGGCCCTGGGGAGAGGGGCGTGCTGCGGGCTCCCGCGTGGAAGAGTCAACGTGGCCAGCCTCAGAGGGGGCCTTTCGGGTGGGCTCACTCCACGGACCTCCCTCCCGCCTCCGGCTGTGTCCCCTTGTCCCGTCACCGGGTCTGGGAGGTGGGAGGCCCTTTGAAACAGGAATCCTGGTATTTGGTTATAAAATGTTTATTCCAGTTTCTTGCCCCTGGACCTTGGCTGGTGGTGTTTATTGCCTCCACCTAGACTCCAGGAGGTGCTTATGGAAGCCAGACTGTCTGCTTTCCCAGGGTGTTGGGAAGCCTACACGGGGCTCTGATGTTCTTCGGGGTGCAAGGGAAGGTGGAGGGTTTGGGGAATTCACCTGCTGTGCACTCCTGGCCTCTTCCCTCCCGTGTGTAAAGGCAACACTGGAACCCTAACCTTTCACACGCGCACACACACACACACACACACACACACACACACTCACACCCCTAGGAGGTGCTCCATCCACCTAGCCTCCTGGTTCCCTCCACCCCAGGAGATCCTCACCTGTCAAAGCCACGCCGCCTAGCATGCCCCCTCCTCTGGAAAGCTTTCCGTGATGCTTCCAAGATCGGGCTTCACCCCCATTCCAGGTGATACCTAAAGGGGTCTGTAGCCAGCTTCTCCTCTGGGTGATGGTTCCTCCTGGGGCCCCACGACTGCCTGGAAGGTACTCCCTGACTTTGAGGGGCTCTGGCTGCCAGGGAGGGGAACTGCAGGTCTCCCTGTGCCATTTCCAAAGAGCCTGCAGCAGTCACTGCCCACATCTTTGCCCTGCAACATCCTCAGGCAGTGGTTCATGCCCTGGCTGGCCGGCTCATAGCTCAGAGCCTGAACCCTCACCACCTCCTGCCTCTGTCACCCAACCCGGTCCCCTCTGGATTTTGCTTTTCCACACCTCTACTTCACACCTTGCTCTGGAAACAAGTTTGAGAACCAACCTTCTAGAAATGTCTGCTTCCTTCTCTTTCTCAGAAGAGCAGGGTGGGTTTGCTACCTCCACACCCTAACCAAAATGTGGCAAAGAAAATGACCAATGATCCCCAGAAAGAGGCTGGAGAGATAGTACAGTGGGTAGGGAGCTTGCCTTGCACGTAGCTGATCTGTGTTGGATCTGTGACATCCCATATGGTCCCCTGAGCACTGCCAGGAGTGCAGAGCTAGAAGTAATCCCTGAGCACTGCTGATTGTGGCCTCAGAACAACAACAACAACAACAACAAAATCTCCCCAATAAAAAAAAAATCCCCCAGCATCCTGGGCACCCTCAAGGACTGCTGAGTTCAAGCCTCGCTGTCTCTGCACATGCCACTTACAAGGCCGATCCCAGAGCAGGTGGCCCGGCCTACATCTGTGTGTGGTGTTGGGGGGCTGGAAGCTCTTGGCTGTTTCCCTGAGGCTCTGGCGGGGCGACAGTGGTGTCTCAAGAGCTCTGCTCTCTGCGTGCTGCACAGCACAGGCCTTAGAGAGCCTGCTGGCCCTTGGGCCACTGGGGAGGCTACAGAGTAGAAGGGAGGGCGGGTGCCCGGGCAGGGGAGGTAGGAGACCCAGCTGGGCTAGAGTAGGAAGACATCTGAGTGGATTTGTTTGCTGGCTTGCTTGTCACTCTGGCCTTCCCTACAGTGACTGAGACAGTGCTGAGCTGGGGCTGAGGGCCGGAGGTGTCGGGCAGAGTCCAGTGCTGGTCGGCATTGGGCTTCTCTCATCTGGCTGTCACCAACCTCAGCGACTGATTGAGGGTGCCCTCACTGTGGCACAGTCGAGGTGAGCAGGCAGGAGAGGGCACACAGCCCATCTGGGGCAGACCTGGGATCTCCCTCCACGCTGGAGTCACTCCATTGCCTGGCTTCACTCCCCTGGAGGGGACTGAAGCCCGGTTGGGGAAGGCTCCGAGCCAAGGCAGTGGTGGGGTGCATGGGGTGTTCTGAGCTTCTCCTTCCTCCTACAGAATCCAGTGCTCCTGGCAGCCCCTGCCCCCAGCTGCTCTCCAAGGCTGTGTCCCCTGTCCTTTGGTGAAGGAGTAGAGTTTGACCCCCTACCACCGACGGAAATAAGGTAAATGTATTGCATGGGTCCTGGCTTTCATTGGTTTCTAATTCCATTTTTCATTCCATAAGTGCTGGTTATTTAAGAAAAAAGAAGATGGCTCAGAGGACTGGAGCGCATGCTTTGCAGATAGGAGCCTGATACCCCTGGTACTCTGAGCATGACTGGGAGCAACCCCCATCCTGCGTGCGCACACACACACACACACACACACACACACACGCACACTTCAAGCATCATACCAGCAGTAACCCCTGAGCATTCCCAGGTGTTGTCTCCAAATCAAAACTTAAAAATTTTTTAAGATTGGGGCTGGAGCGATAGCACAGCGGGTAGGGCATTTGCCTTGCACACAGCCAACATGGCTGACCCAGGTTCGATTCCCAGCATCCCATATGGTCCCCCGAGCACCGCCAGGAGTAATTCCTGAGTGCATGAGCCAGGAGTAACCCCTGAGCATTGCCGGGTGTGACCCAAAAAGCAAAAAAAAAAAAAAAAAAATTTTAAGATAAATAAATAGATGTAAAGTAAGCCAAAGACTTTTTATAGTCTTTTGGCTAATCTTCTGGAATTTTCTTATTTTTTATACTGCATTCTAATCAATTAAATATAGAAACTTTTGGGAGGTGGGAAAGCACCAGGAACCATACATTTAAAGCATGTGCTCTGCTTTTAAAAATAGGCATACTTTTGGGGGCTGGAGCAATAGCACAGCGGGTAGGGCATTTGTCTTGCACGCGGCTGACCCGGATTCGATTCCCAGCATCCCTATGGTTCCCCGAGCACCGCCAGGAGTAATTCCTGAGTGCAGAGCCAGGAGTAGCCCCTGTGCATTGCCAGGTGTGACCCCCCCCCAAAAAATAGACCTACTTTTAAAAATAAAAATGAGGTCGCACTGTACAATGCATTCTTGAAACTTACCTTTTGCACGTTATCTACTATGACCCTTAGATGTTTACATTACATCTTTATAAATAAATTTCTAGAAACTTTCCTTCATCCATGCCTCCTCAAATCCCTTCTTTAATGTGCTAGAATTGCCTTGTCTTATGTTATTGTTTCACCGGGCAGGTTTCTTTTGAAAGTTTATCTCTTCCAGGATGATTTGGGGGCAAAGACTCACAGAGAGGCTTAGTTACAAGGGTGTCTCTGTGGAGAAGGGAATTGTATTTTTGGTAACTGGGGGGTTTGGAGTCGGGGTTCTTTCTATGACCGTCACACAAAGGGCCCTTTGAGTTGGAAGAAAGGCAGTGTCCCGGTGTGAGGTGAGATCTTTAGCCTTCTCTCCCTGTGGAGTTGTATTCTGAACAAAATGAGGACATGACTTCATGTCGGGTAGTTTCTTCCCCAGGGAAAGAAGCCGCACCCTCTCCCTGACCCAGGGCCTGTGGGGCACTTAGGTGAGTCTCGGAGAATCCAACACTCTGAAGTACAGCACTTAAGCCGTCAAAGGAGTCCATGCTTTGCTTCCACACACAGACACTTAACTCCCAAACTGCCAAAGAAGGACTTAAAAATAAATTGGCTGCTGAGAAATACACATGGATCATATGAAAAGTGAGCTGGAACCGGCACTAGAGGGTCAGACCTGGGCATCCCTGGGTTGAGAGGGGTCTCCAAACTGAAGGCAAAGGTGGGCGGAGTACTAGTATTGGATATAGGGAAGCTTTGAGGACTAGCACTCAGGATTTGTGGGCTCCTTTATTCTCTCAGTAAAGAACTGATGGATCAGGCCAGAGAGATAGTACAGGGGTTAAGGCACTGACCTGGGTCTGATCCTATGGCCCCTTGAGCCCTGCCAGGAGTGACTCCCAAGCACAGAGCCAGGAGTAAGCCTTCAGCACTGCTGGATGTGGTCCCCAAACCAAACAAACAGAATCGACGATCACTTCCAGAGCAGAGAGCAGCTCTGTGGGGCAGTGGGATCCATGTCAGTGTATACTAACCCCCACCCCCAGCCCATACCCCCAGCCCAGTGGTATTTACTAGATCTCAGTACTTAGCCCAGGTTATTTCAGGCTCCCTTTTTAGAAAGAGGAAACAGGTATCAAAAAGTGAAGTAGCTTAACCACAAGGTCGTAGCTCCTATCAGTAGGAGGATGGCCTGGGCCACAGGCTGCCATGAGGCGCAGATTCGTGGTGTGGGCAGGACAGGGGGAAGTAGGGAGCCAGGCCAGACACCTCCCCAAACCCCAGCTCCAGCCCTGTGTGCATGTCCTCTTGGCCTCCTCAGCTGAGTGGCCTGCAGTTGAGCTGATGGAATGAGGTCCCATCAGGAAGGGCTCGGGATGTCCACATCCGGGTCAGCAACACCCATGGGCTTGAGGGTCTTAGTCGTGACCCCCATGGACTCACTCAGAGGAGCAGCTTTCATGCTGCCTCCGTCTCCCTACCCAGGTGAAGTAGGTGGCCCCCACAGGCAGCTTATATGAGGCAGAGAGGAGAGAGGGGGTCACTTTCTCCCGATCCGCCTCTGCCACCCCGAGGCCGCCTGAGAAGACGAGGACTGATAAAGTCTGTGATGAGGCACCGGAGTGGTAGTACGGCGGGTAGGGTGTTTGCCTTGCATGTGGCCAACCGGGGTTCAATTCCCAGCATCCCATATGGTCCCCCAGCACCGCAAGGAGTAACTGAGTGCAGAGCCAGAAGTAACCCCTGAGCATCACCAGGTGTGACCCAAAAGAGAAATAAAAATCTGTGATGAGCCCTTGCTCAGCATAGGCCAGAGCCCTGCCAGCCCCACCAGGTGGCCGTCAAGCCACACCCGACGTCCGCTTGGTCTTCTCCACGTAGGAGTTGATCCCCACCACCAGATTTCTTGGGGAGCCACGGACTCAGGTTGGGGCAAGGAATTGCTCTTTGCACGAAAGGAAAGTCAGTCCTAGGCTCTACCCAGGGCTACCGAGTTTTTCTTACCTCACAGAAAAGAATTTCAGGAGCAGATGAGCAGTGAAAGTAAACATTTTATTCGGAGGGTTTTAGGAGAGAGAGAAAGAGAGAGAGTGTGTGACCTCCTCAAGGGAGAACAAGGGGCCGTTGGGCCCCAGCAGCACCTGCTGCCATGATGTGGGGGGCCCTTCCCTAACCTGGCTGCCTGCATCACAGGTACACCTCCTCAGTCAAGTATGATTCTGAGCGGCGCTTCATCGATGACGTCCACCTGCCCGTGGGCCTGGCCGTGGCCTCGTGTAGCCAGACGGTCACCTGCATCCCCAACTGCACATGGCGCAACTACCGCGCCGAGGTGCGCTTCGAGCCCCGCCACAAACCCACGCGCTTCCTCAGCACCACCATCGTGTACCCCAAGTACCCCAAGACCGTCTACACCACCACGCTGGATTACAACTGCCGCAAGACGCTCAGGAGGTTCCTGTCCAGCGTGGAGCTGGAGGCCGCCGAGTTCCTGGGCAGCGAAGACCTCGCTGATGAATGCTGACCCGGTCACCTAGGGAAGCATCGTACACACGGCGGCTTGGAATGAGGGAGAGAATTGGTGTAGTTTTTCTAAAAAAAAAAAAAATTCTGAAATGAGATTTTGAAAAGAGTGCATGTCCCCCTGCTGCTGCAGGCTCCCCAGGGGACTGGAACCAAAGGTGACAGCCTAGATCTGAAGTGGGGAGGGGGCTGCACTCCTCGCATCAGGCTGCCGGGGCCCAGGAGGACCGTGGAAAAGGACGTCAGGAGGGGGAAAGTTGAGTTCCAGAAACTGCGTTCCCGGGGGTCCTCACTGCTGGGAGAGCCGCGGCGCCCATATGGGTTCAATCTATGGCGAGCCGAGCGCCCTGCCATTTTTCATTTCCATTTGTGTTTCCTGTTACCAAACTCTTGGAATTTTCTAAATCTTGTTTCATGATACTGTAAAACCCCCAAACCGCAATAGGAGATGCCTTTTCAGAAGGCGAGAGAGGGGGGCAAGGCGGGGGGCATTTTCCCGAATTTGTGCCTCTCTAGGAGGGTCATGCCCCCCCCACCCCGGAAGCTGTGCTTGGGTGCCTGAAGCCTTTGGTGGGTGGGTTCTGGGCACCAACCCTGGCCAGGCGCCTCGACCCCTTGGCGTCTGGTCACGTTTTCGTAAGCTTATGTAACCCTCTGATATGTATTTTGGGGTTTCCAAATACTTTCCTGTTCTTTTCATAATGCAAACCATAGTGAGGGAAGTCAGTGCTTTGGAAAAACATTTTTCAGAGACTCCATGAAGGGGGGACCCTGGGCAATCCCTAGGACTTGGTGTTAGCTGGGAGGGGGTGCATATGCTTCTGGTGAGCTGCTTCAATCAAGGTGGCTGTCCTACTGGGGACCCCAGCTCCTCTTCCTCTTAAGGCGTTAAGGACACCCACACCCTCAGGGTAGGCAGAGGGGAACTCAGTAGGGAGAACTGTCCTGTCACCCCTCATGCCTTGGCTCTGTAGGGATGGCACACAAGTCCCCCACGTGGAAATGACTGTCCTGGCACCAAGGACGAGTGGGAATCCCCGTGTGGACTTTGAGGACCCGCTGAAGCAGGGATGGGCAGGGCCTGGTGGATTCTGGGCAGCCGCCCTGGCCTGCCCCTCCCTACCCAGCCCTTCCTCCTCCTGCCAATCCCTGGGGGTTTGGGTGTGTGTGAGTGTGAGTGTGAGTGTGTGTGTGTGTGTGTGTGTGTGTGTGTGTTTAATGTGGCAGATGGCTTTTTCTCTTCCAGTATTGGAAAGAACAAACTGTGGATATTTCCTTTGAATGAATCCAAGTTCCGCCCAGGGCTCCAGGGTACAGCGTGCTGGAAGCGTGGACTCCCACCGGATCTCCAGGTTTCCGTGGCTGGCTTCCATCTGTCCTGAAAGCAGAGTCGAGAGCTCTCAGGTGCCCTGGAGCCTGCGCGGAGAGCAGGTGTGATGATAATCACCCTCATTTAAAGCCTTGGGCAGCCTCCAGAGCCAGGCTGGCGGGGTTTACAATGCCTGGCCCGTCGTCCTCCTACCTGATTGGATCCACCACCCGCCCGCCCGGTGAAGCCGCAGTGCGCTTAGCGGACTGACCTGGCCAGGGTGAAGCTCGCTGGGGTTCTCTCGGGAGCCCCAGTCTCAGTCACCCTGCGGAGCACGAGCGCTTCCTGCCTTTGGAAGAGCAAAGTAGCCAGCACTTACTGATAAGAAAGAAAAGGGAAGAAAGGATGTTTCTCTGTGATAAGATCTTGTCGTTGAAGACAAGTGGTAAATGTAGTTTTTAAATTAGGTCCTGAGGTTTCCCTGGACTTTACTGGAAGCAAGTGGGGGGGGGGGGGGGCTTTGAGCATGGTGAGCTGCGGGCAGGAGGCGGAGAGAGACAGGTGTGGGATTGCACCTTTGAGATGTCCCTATGACATTTCCTGGTTTGGGGGTAATTAAGTTTGGGCAAATCCCAACAGAGGGGGAGAGACTCTGAAATATAATAGGAAAGTAAGTAGAAGTGAGAGTCGTGAATGTGGATCGCAAATGGACACGGAGGGGTTAAGTTATTCACTAGGGATCCAACTGTACTTCTTTCAAATCCTTCTTTTTCTCCAAACCTTCTTTACTGATGTTGGCGAAGGCATAAGGGGCCACATTGGAGAGAATGAGACGCCAGCAGCCACCCTGGGGCCGTGTCAGCAGGTCGGGAGAGACGCTGGCTCGATTTTGGCTTCTGCGGTTATGATTTGTATGTTCAGAGACAAGTTTTCCTTATCAAATCACAGACCTTTCAAAAAGAATGAGTCCCTTCAGCACTTCTTCTGTTTTTAACTGTAGGAAACCCAGAAAGGTATTTGACCAAAACATAAATAAATAATACTAGTTTTTAAATGTGTCTTGGTATCTGTTCCACTCCATTTTGCTTTGTGACTTTTTTCATTTAACAATAAATTATCTTTAAAACACAACTTAGGGGGTCTTTTTTTAAAGTAAATTTATAATGATGGGTAAGAAAAGTGGGAAAATAGCAGTTTCTCACCTTGAGAAAGTTTAATCTGCAGATATATTTTACTAGCATAATATTTCTGACTGGGGTACATAGTCTCCTTGGGAAACAAAGTTTTTTTCAGGGGTTCCTTGGGCACAAAAGTTTAAAGAAGTTTGCTCTCAGATTCAGTATGTCTTTTATTTATTTAGAGGGGGGCCTCCAGGCACTGCTCAGGGGACCCTGGGCCATTTCTGGAGCTATTGGCTGTCCACTGCACTGGACTCTGCTCAGCTCTAGGAGGACCGTGTGGTGATGCAGAGCGAACTCGGGGACTTGTGCATCCAAAGTGGGGAGCTGCTTCCCTGCCCCCTCAAAGCCTCTTCCCTAAGATGCATCGGTGTGTCTGTAAGTGGTGGATCAGCCTACCCACCTGCCCTTCCAGACTGCCTTTCTCCCTCTTTGCAGAGGACATATGGCATTGTCTTAGCCTTATCAAATAGTGACACTGGTAGACACTGGTACAATTGGAAGCATCAGTGTGTGGGCACCAGGCCCCCCTGAGAACCTGGTGTTTGTCTGCATCCTAAGTGTCATTCCAAGGAGAAGGAATGGTGGCTGCAGGAGTCGGTCTGCTGTGGTGGGAGGGCTTCAGTCCCCCCCTGCCTGTGAACTGAGGTCGACGCTCTGCATTCAGGACCTGAATCTTCCCTCGCAGCCGTTATCTTCCTCCAGGGGAAGTCCCTTAGGGCAAAGCAAACTAAAGGAATAGAGATAGTGGAAGTGAAGATGGCTTGTTTCATTCAAGTGTCCAATTCATAGCAAAGGGCTGTGATAAGTAACTTAAAGACATATTTGTTTGAGTTATGATTCAGAGATAATTTTATCCCAGGAATACACTTTATCATTGTTATGTATTTTTTTAATTATATTTTTGTTGGGGGGGGCAGACCTATTTCTGCTTGAGGCTTATTCCTGCTTCTGCTCTCAGGAATCATTCCTGGTACTCAGGCAACAATCTGGGATGCCAGGCATGGAACCAGGTCAGTGGCGTGCAAGGCTAATGCCCTACCTGCTGTTCTATCGCTTCAGCTAATTGCTATGAATTTTTTTTCTTTCTGGGGCACACCCGGTGATGCTCAGAGGTTACTCCTGTCTCTGCACTCAGGAATCACTTCTGGCGGTGCTCAGGGGACCATATGAGATGCTGGGAACTGAACCCAGGTCAGCCACGTGCAAGGCAAATGCCCTACCCGCTGTGCTATTGCTCCAGCCCCAGCTATGATTTTTTTTTTTTTTTTTGCTTTTTGGGTCACACCCAGCAATGCTCAGGGGTTACTCCTGGCTCTGCACTCGGGAATCACTCCTGGCGGTGCTCATGGGACCATATGGGATGCCGGGGATCGAACCCAGGTCGGCCGCGTGCAAGGCAAACGCCCTACCCGCTGTGCTATCACTCTAGCCCCCTCCACTATGATTTTTTAAAAAATAAATAACCCCAGTCATGGGGCCAGAGAGATAGTTCAATGGCTAGTGTTCGTGCTTCGCCTACAGGAGGCCTTGCTTGATCTCCAGAACTACAGAGTCCCCGAAATGACCACCAGGCACTGAGTTGGGAGTATCCCTAAGCATCACCAGCTGTGGCCCTAAAAAGTAAAGCCAAAGAAACCAACCCACTAAACACAAAACAAAATTCAGTCTCTTTTATATAGAAATCAAAGCTTGTTTGGTTGATTGGGAGGATTTTGCCATCACTTTACATGGTACAAACTTTCCATTTTTCTGATGGAAAAATATTCGTAGGGTTAAAACTACAAGTGAGGGAGACTTGGCGTGGCTCACTGGTGAAAGCAGCTTCCCTACAAGTGTGGGGCAAGTGAGTTCAGTCCCTGGTGCCACCCACATGCACTGAAGATCAGCTGGCAGCCCTGCTGCTTGTGGGACCCCCACCCCAGGCACCGTAAGCTGTCCAGCATGCCACAACCAGGCATGTGTTAACACTGCAGCTGAAGTGTGCGTGGAGGGTCCCACAAGACGAGATGTGCAAGTACCACTGCCAGGAGCGTGACCCAGCAAGGGCGTGTATGAGCCCCAGAGAGCACCCAGGGGAGCACTACAGAATGGGAGTGAGCATCAGCCCTGAGTGTGGCCCCCGGCGGTCTGTGTGCGAGGCAGCAGGGCCCCAGGGTGTGGCCCCAGGTGAGTGTCCCAGACTGGTGTGGGAATATCGCAGCTGGGTTTGTGAGCCCTAGTGGGCACCACAAGCAAGCAAGAGAAATAGAGGAAGAAAAATGTCGACTCTAATATGTGGGTTATGGAGGGTGTAGGGAGGGGAGAGGTGAGTGCGAAACTAAGTCTATTTCCATTTTCTCCCCCTTCCAAAGTATCTCAGGCTGTTAAGCTGGTGCTCTGAGGAGAGGGTTGTAAGCAGAATGAAGAATAATGTGATGTCTTCCAGAGCCTTTTTCGTGTACTGGGAAATTTCAGCAGTCAGTGACTATGAGGCAATGACTCCTATTGCAAGAAATGCCTCTGAATGAAATTCTGCTAATTTGATTTTAGCAACCAATCACGATTAAGTGGGGGGGAATTTATGTCCTATTTTCCAGGTGCTTGCTATGGAATACAATAAGGTTGATGACTAAATCCATTTAGAGAAATGAAAAGCTGGACAAAAGCTGAGGTTTCCTGCAGGACCTCATTGTAGAAGCAGTTAACAACCTCCACCTGGTCTTCCAAGGCACCTCCCCACACTTAGCAGAGGAAATCCCTGCGTGACTCTTAATCTTACTCATCCTTACCTTGGTTGTGGTGTTGGGAGGTAGTGTGGGGGTTGCTGGGTGTGGCCCCTGAGCACTGTCATGGGGGTCTGGGTGGCAGTGCACCCTCGGATCATGTCAGCTGAGAATTGCTGGGAGGGTTCACTAAGCCTCCTGATTCCCTGGGAGCACCCCCTCATCACACACACACACACACACAGAGAGAGAGAGAGAGAGAGAGAGGATTAATGCTTATTTCTATGTATCACAGCCCAAGGCCAATCATAAAAACCAAAACCATAATAGTCTCAGCAGCAAAGGAAATCTCATACATTCTTTTTTTCTTTTATTTTTCAGTAGTGCTTGGGATCAATCTGACCCCAGGGGTTTCAGATAGGCAAGACCAGTGCTCTACCTCTAAGCTTGTAGCCCAGCTGGGAGGATTTCATCCAAAGAAATGATGCACAGATGTTTTGAAGGCTAAAAGCACAAAAAGGGGACCCTAAAATCAACCCAATTATTAGTAACTTTCAGGAAGCAGATTCTACCTCTTGTACCCCTTTATGATAAT